TGTGGTTCATCTATTTGCGCCTTTTCACACAATTTCGCTATTGTTCCTTTCATTTCAGCCATTGATTTTTGCATCTCCCTGATTATTCTATCCTTTTCATTTTCATCTATTGGACCTTTATCCATTCCTCTATTTATTCGCCATTCTTCATCCTCCTCTAGATATCTATCTATTTCTTTGCGCAGGAAATATTGAGTGTATGTTGTTGAAGTAGCCATAAAGTCAACAGGTGCTGGTTCTTTCTCTGTAAAGAAGGACACATTTCTTGTTAAAGAGAGAACCAGTATAAATATGCAAGCTTTGACAAAGTAAATATCGATCGGCCATTTTAACACAATAAATAATGTTTGCAGAATATTCGGGAGATAAAACCATACAGGAAATAATATAGTAGCAACAATCCATTCAAGAATCTATCCTTTGCAAAAAAATATAGTAAAGCAGTAATGAAGATTGTAACTAACAATACCCCAAATAATGTAAGGAATACTATACTAATTGGGTCAAAAAGATGTCTAGTTGTAATATTAACAATCCAGAATGTTGGAATTACTATCGCTGGGAAAAATAACAAGAATATTAAGATAAATCTAAAAGAATCAGGTACATTTCCAACAACTTTTTATTCCTATTTATTGCGCCTACTGCGCAAGTTACATGTAAACCCATGTTTACAAATGAAAATATCTTTATAAACAGCAAATCATCGTAGGCCAAAGAAACTACCAGCGGAATCACTCAAGTGACAGTGTTGTATAATAAGTCATCCAGTAATGGTAACAGCACATTTTTGATGGGTCCAGTCTTCCCTTTCACGTTAAACAAAACGACAAAAAGGACTGGAAAAAATGTGTTAAGCATTGCGTCGTACACATCCTCTTCGGATTTATATTCTTCATCGATAATTGACGATGTCACAAGTGGAAGGAGTGAAAATAAAATGATTTTCAAGAAACTTGATTCCACTTGCTTGCTTTGGTTGAATAGAGAAGGAATAGTTCCTTGGAAGAGGAAATAATTGTTCATATTGAATAATTTGAAAAGTTTCATCCATAGAACTAATTTTGTTGAGGTTTATATACGAATGTATTCATTATAACTCTGAAATTCAAATTACTTTAAATATCACTTGTTTGTAGCACACGTATTGATTTATTGTTTATTATTTATATTAATTATTTGTTACTATCTCGACGCGTATGTTATTTTACGTAGCATTAGACAAACAACAAAATTGACTAAACCGACAAGGTAAAATGTATACAAACAATTCAAATTTCATGTTACTTCTTACAACAACTTCCCTTGGATAAAAGAAAATAATAACAAGTTTCGACTTGGGAAATAATTCAACCACACTCAAAAACTATTCGTTAGTAAATACCCTATTCATTATTTTACTGTCCTCAATTAAGCTCGCCCCCAGAAATTAATCAGGGCTGGAAATAGTACTTTTAAAATCTGGTTTAAATTTTTTTACTTCTAGAAAAAAAGGTCAGCGGGTTTGTAACAACGTTCAACTGCATACAAGCCTGGTTTATTGAATGATATTCATCGTCCACAGCATGGGCTCCCAATAGAGGTGCAAAAAATTCAGCATGAAAAATATACCAAGCTTTTCCATGCAGCAAGCACGTGATCAACTCAAGAAAAAATTATGAAGATCCACAAAGTAAATAATTCCAAGCATCTCAAGAATTTAAGGATTATACGATCAAGTTAAAACTTTAAATGCTTTGAATCCATTATTTTTTTGAATTTATAATCACCATCACCATTGCTGTTATATGATCTTTATTTTTTCTGAAAAAAAAATGTTTATCGTGTTGTAATTAATTTTGACTTCTTCAATCTTATTATTTAGTTTATTCATTGGGTCCTCGTTATGAATAAATGAAGAGATGATTTTGATAACCGAAAAATCATTAAAAAACAATAAATGTTTCCAGGATTATGAAAATACATCATAGAAAATTATCAATTACAAATTATAAACCATCAATTCTTTTTGATAAGCCAGTAAGGGATGGGAAAAGAAGGCGAATAAATAAATAAAACTTGGAGTCAAAAGAAAGGAAAGATTTTAAAGAAGGTTTGATCATCCAGCAATCAAAAGAAATAGCTAAAAGTTCGTCTTTTACTAGGAGAAAAGCAAAGAAGGATCAACTCTTACAAGGGGATCGAAGGAACTAAATTTGAAATAAACAATGAAATGATGAAAACAATGAAATAATAACTTGGCAAATTTCCAAGAAGGTTCCCATCCATTGAAAATTTACTTTAAGCTAAGCCAAAAGAAAATTAGCAAAAGTATATTTTTATTTGTCCAATCCATTGTTGAGTCCTTCATAGATTTTTTTTGTCATAAATTTTTGCACAAGAAATTCTTCCGTACATTTTTTTTCCATTTTCATAGCATTGATCCATTATTTCATACTTTCTTCATGCGTTTTGTGTATAATATAATCAAAGAGGCTTGATCACAATCTGGATTGCGGAAGGCTTCATGTATTTATCACTCCAAGTCCGCATCTCCTTGCTGCTATTTTTTATGATACAATCATACTTTCTCAGGAATGAATTCATCAAGAATTTTTAACCGATCAATCTCTTGACTATATACCGTATTTAAGTAAATGATTGGGCTTTGAAAAACTTTACATAATTCGTTTATCTCCTTTGTCATTAAAGTTTTTATCAAAAGTTAATTTTTTCTTTAATAAGATAAGAAAAGAATATTATTTGATTTTTAATTATTCTTACCCTATCAACATTCTCTTGTTTGATAATAATTTCGGATCTCTATAAAATATGCTTCTATTTTATACATATTTTAAAATACATACGACCAATTTTTGCCCACCTTTTAAATTTAATTTTATTATTAGTAAATAAAAATTGCACATATGTACTTTGTTAGTAGGTGGGCAACTACTTTAAATTGAGGATTTTAAGCATACATAGTTGTATGTTTGTTTGTTTATCATTTGATGTTGGATAAATATGCTTCTATTAATAACATTGTGAATATAAAAAGAAATATATAAAATTTAGCTTCTAATCTTCTTCCAATAATAATAATAATCTAATACACGTAATACCATTATTATTTTCTATGAGCGATTTGCATATTTTAAGTATTCGGTAATATATTTGGATCGTTTTATCTCTTCTTTTATACAAAAAATTATCAAAATTATCATTTTTAATTTTGTTATTTTATTTTTTATCTTCTAAAGCAATTGAAATCAATAAAATTCAATATTATTGTTATCGGTGATAACACTATTATTCTTTTTAATAATAAAGCTAGAATGACGACGAGTTGCAATGATTGCAACCACCACCATCATCCTTTTTAATAATAAACTAGAATGACGACAAGTTGTAATGCACCACAATTGCCACTTTCCTTTTAATAATAACACTTGCTCGTTCCTCGTTTCGGTTTCTTCTTTTTCTTTATTTAACGACAGACATTTTTATTTTTAATTAAAAAACACGTAAACAAAATGTTGGCATTTGATGTTGTAAAAGATCTTCTAAACACGTGACTAGAACATATTCATCAAACAATACATTACTAACAAATTAATTTAAAAAATGCCAAGACGAAATAAGCAAACTGCACATTTGGGAAAGCTAGAAATGTTAAAAAAATAAATCAGATAATGAATTGGATAAAAATTTAGAATATGCATCAAGTGAAGAAGACTCTGATAAAGAAGAATACTCAAATTCATAACGAATACGATAAATGATTGAGTCATGTGATTTTATACTCCCGTGACACCAAAGAGTATCATGTTATTTTGGTATGTGAAGATTTGTCTGTGTGGCGCAGCATTTGATGTCTTTAGATGGCGCGCGCACTATAGCAAAAGTTTTAAAGGAAAACAGGTTTTTATGAAATGTAAAGAATATCATCAGTAAAAAAATTTTTTTTTCATTTAAAAAAAAAAAAATTTAACCAGATTGTGCTATATATGAATAATTGATCGGCGACACTTAATGTAATGATTTATTTCATTAAATCTTATTTGAGAAAGATTGCTCCAAATTTCATTCATGCATCGTTACTATTACTATGTATATACACAATCGTTGTGTGAGATTCGGTTACATTTTTTTAATTCTTGTTACACGGAACCGGTTTGAACTGGGTCTTTGACAAACCTATAATAAAATATACATACTGACACTATTACAGAGAATGATGAGACTACAATATAACGTGAGAATGTCCTTTGATCATGCTGTTCTCCAATTGTTGAAGTTTGACATAATATCATTTATTTGGAAGCCTGTTATTAAATTTGAAGTATTTGTCCTTACTATGAATGATTGATGTGATTTGACCATTCATTGATTCTATTATTAATGATTATTAATGTTGATGTCATTTTATTGACAGATGGTATCCCTTCCTTTATTGTTTATGAACAAGATCCTTGACAAATTTGTTCACCATTTGTTTATTTTTTTTTTAACATAAATTCTTATTTTTATCTCCAGAGATCATTATTATAGAAGAAATGGCAATTAAAGAATAATCGACAATAAATGTATTTTCATTTTGAAAAATACTTGGTTCGAAAAATAAAGTTAATTGCACCAGGTAATCAATTTCCTCTCTTTGTTATAATTTATTAAACTCAAAAAAATAATTATGCACGTTCCTATATATATACATCTCTAATTTATAAAAACCATTTAACTGAAATATAATATATATAGAGTTTTTAAACAATTCAAAGTTTGTTGTTTACCAAAATTGAAGAAATTTATCACGTGTAATAGTGGCAATAAATGAAACTTTTTTTGGAAAAGTTACATAAAAATGGATATCCAGATATGGATGGATGGGTAACGTAACAATTTATTATTATTCATTATTATTATTTATTTTGTAAATAAAAAAAAGTTATAAAAAGACACGAAATTTTTTTTCAGAAAAAATTAAAAATTAAAAATATTTGGTCAAACAATAATTAATAATAATGGACTATACATTACACTTGTCAAACACGAGTCATACAAATCATCCACAAGTTAGAGGGCATTTTGGAGGTTTCGTTTCGCCAATTTCTTCTTCTACAAGTAACACAAGTAACTCCAACATCAATAATAATGTTAATAATCCTAGCAATATGATGGGAGGAAAAAAAAGGGTTAGAAGTGATAGTATGAATAGGATTGACCAAGCTCAGGTATAAATATAATAGTAATAATAATAGTAATAATAATAGTAATAATAGTAGCAATTATAATAGTAATAATATTTCTTGTGTATTTTTATAAGAATTTTCATAACACATTATTATTTTTATTATTAGAAAGTTATACGATCATTATCACGTAATTCTTTATGTTCAAATACAACAAATAATAGCTGTTTGATCGAGAATTATCAAGATCGAATGAATTTAGTTGATAATAATAATGATGACAAATTTAAATTAATCTCATCGTTGTCACTTGCTTCTTCTTCTCCTCTAATGGATTGTGACGAGCAACAATTTAGTTTGAATGAAGAATTAGACGAGGAAAACATGGTAAATTATTTAATTAAGATTAATTATGAATAAAATTATGAACATCTGCTAATTGTGAATATTTAATCATGTCAATTAACAGATAACAAGTTCATTGTCATCATCAATAACTTCAACGTCACAATTAACACCACCTCTTCAATCTTCTCTTAATAATAATAACATTAATCATCATAATCATGATCGTCATTATCATAATACTAATAATCATCAACATCAACGTCAACATCATCGTCAATTCACTAATTCATCATCATGTATAGCATTTACCATGGGACCACGAACCGATTGTGAAAAATGTCAACTACATGTCCGAGGTCATTTTATTCATGTTATTCATCCATCTAACAATAACAACAATAATAATTAATGTTTATATATAATAGAATTAGAAAAGCGTTTTAGAAAAACAATAATTATAATAATGTCTGGATTATTAAAAATATTTTTTAAGAATTAATAATAAAAAAAACAATTTGAAAAAGCAATATTATTATTGTCATCTTGATATAAAATAACAGTAAATAGATTTTATAAGATTTAGAAATAAAAATACATTTAGAATAAAATAATAATAATAATAATAATAATAATAATAATAATAATAATAATAATAATAATTATAAACATTAAATCAAACCTTTTTCTAGATAATTGATTAATTGATTACGTAATTAACTGGTTTAGATTTATGGTTTTTTTGAATGACATATTATATTTGATAAATTTGTATATTAATGTTGTTTTATTTTTTTTTAGTATTTTTTTCTTTTCAACAATCAATGAATAATGTATTATTGTTATATTATTGAAAAAGAATTGTTCTTTTAAATTTAACAAAACATGAATTTAAAAGTCAAATATTTTCTTTATTATTCAAATTAAAAATTAATTGTTTAGTTGGGAGATTGGGAATAAAGAACACACAATAAACAGGAAAAGAAATAACGGCTATAATAACAGCCATGTGAAAATAAACAAAAATAAAGACATAATAAAAAATAAATATAAGTTAATAAAATAATAATAAAATAATAATTAGGAAGGAAAATAAAAAAATTAAATTATTAATGAAAATACATTTTTTTTTTTTGATAATTAATTAATTAGTAGTATTAAATAGTATATATATAAGAAATTTATGAGGATTTTTTAGTAAGGAAATTTCTGACTCTAACAAGAATACTACCTCTTTTATTTTTCTTACCATTAGAAGTCCCTCTATCGGAACTTTCACCATCACCATCAACTTTAGTTTCTTTAACTTCTTCTCCTACTGGAGTATCGGGAAGTGTTTTATCATCAGTGTTTATAACGTTAACAGTATCTTTAGCTGGTGGGTTTTGCTCTTCACCTGTGGTTGTAGTAGTGGCTTCAGTTGTTGGTTCTGGTTCTGGTTCAGAAGGTTTCGTTGATTCTGCAGTGGTGGTTTCAGCGGTAACTGGAGTGGGTTCCTTAATTTCTTTTGTTGCTGTCTCTGTTTCGATTGGTTTTTTTGTTTCTTCCACGGTTACTTTTGTTTTTGTCACTGTTTCGATTGGTTTTTTTGTTTCTTCCACGGTTACTTTTGTTTTTGTCTCTGTTTCGATTGGTTTTTTTGTTGTCTCTGCTTCAGTTGTTTTTGTTGTTGTCTCTGCTTCAGTTGTTTTTGTTGTTGTCTCTGCTTCAGTTGTTTTTGTTGTTGTCTTTGCTTCAGTTGGTTTTGTTGTTGTCTCTGCTTCAGTTGGTTTTGTTTTCTCTTCCTCGGTTGGTTTTGTTTCGTCTTTCAAGATTTTAGGAATGTGATCATTACTGGAAGATGTTTGGTCTGCAGTAGTAAGAGTAGAGCTTTCCTGAGATGTTAATGCTTCTACAGTTGCGACAACTGTTGCTGCTGTTGTTGCTAGGTCAGTCATTTTTTAATTTTTTTGTGAAAAAAATATTAATTTTATTAAAGAAGAAAGATACGGAGAGAGTTAAAAAATTGTGTAGTTTTTTAAATAGAATAATTTAATTGAGAGGCAGGAATTTGAAGGAATAATAATTTGAAGGAATAATTTGAAAATAGCAAGCAAGTAGTAAAGGAAATTTCCAAAAAAAAAATATTTCCACAAAATAATTAAATTAATTAAATAAAAAAAAATTTTTTTTTTTGAGAAACTTTAAAATGTATTCGTGTTTTTTGTGCTTGGTTATGTATATTGGCGCATGTGGCAATTTCAAAAAAACAATTGTAACTTAAAGAAGGCCAATTGTGTTGGCAAATGTATTACATATTTTTTTGTGCGTATTCAAGTTTCATAACTTGTACAATTAATATATGTGTTGTGATTTTCTTTTTATTTCCAAAAAACCCTTCTTTATTATATTTAAATTGCTAAATTCATAATTATAATCATATATATATATATTAATACCATCGTCATAATTATTACTTTACAATCGGCATTAATTCACTTCTAATTAAGTCAGCATCATTTCCTCTCTTTTTTTCATTTTCATTTTTCCAATTTAGTACACGTCATACACTGATTTAACTGAAAAAAATTTGCCAAGATAATCTTCTTCTCTCTAATCTTCCATGCATTAAGGTTAATTCAAGCATTTATTCAAATATTAATTCACCAAAAATATTATTGAAATAATTTTTGCATTCACTTTAATAATTTTTGCATATCATGAAGAACATAACACCACAAAAACAATTTCAGGGCCCAAAGTAATTGAATTTGTTATACGCCACGCTTCATAATAATGTGATCGTGATATTAATGGTTTTAATTAGTCAAAGCTCGATATTTTTTTCAGGAGCCAGTGCTAGTTAAGTTAGTTATATTAAAATTTTTATAATTCAATGACTTTTATTATGTGCCACCCATATATGGAAATCTTGCTCTTTATCCGTGTAACCATTAACAAGATTCAAGTTTGGATTATATCTATGTAAATCTCTTAAACGCCATAACAATAAAAGATAATGCATATTTAAATATGGGAATTGGACTAGGAAAATCGACTCCTCAGACAAAAAATCTATTTTTAGTAACAATCCTTTTTAAAATTGGTTACACATATGTTTTTAATATATATACAAAGAAAATATTCCAAGCTCTATATCCCATTCCTCTACTATGCAAACAAGATCCAAATTTTTTCCTCCAATTGTAATCCTTGTATGATGGATTAATATTAAGTAAGAAAACTCAAAATAAAAAAATCAACTGAGAGGTCGATTTTCCTGGTCCAAATCCCATATATTAATTAATATATATTTATGTTAAACCGAAATTTAAAGATTTTTTTAATCAAAAAAAACAAATATTTCAATTTATATGTAAAATTATTGGGAATCGTCAGATTCCCAATATAAAATTAAAAAATTTTTGAATCCAAGATTGTTTCTACCAATTAGAAAGTGCAATAAATAAACGATCTAGAAATTTATGTAATGAATTATTTATTTATTTACATCTACCATCTCATTCATTTTGTCACAAATAAGCTTCCCCGCCATATTGATCGCTCGCTGTGATTATCACCCCCTTAAAAAACCTAAAATGGATAGTGGCTGTGTAGCATCAGATATCAAATACGCTTTGTCATATTGAAGGATTTTCTCATAAATCTACGGCTATTCAAAATTAGAAAACAATGAATTTTTAGTATGATCTCTCCACATGATCATTGGAATTAATGAGATGAATGAATGGACAAACCTTAGTTTTTTTACAATGTATCGTCTATATTTATTATTATTATTATTATATCAAATATAAATAAAAATTCTTTTTAAATCATGAACGTTTTAGCAATTATTCGCTAGAAAAGGTAGAGTTGTATGTATGGTAGGCGAGTTTGATGGTAAGTGCCAAAGTCAAGATGTACAAAACTTGCAAAGCAAAAAACAAATTACTTCATAAGCAAATATTTAGTAAACGTTACGATTACATTAGATTCTGAAAGCAACATCCATTATCTCAATAAAATAGCACATGTGATTACCGGGTGACTTATCAGGACACGTAGGTAGGTACATATCAGAATTTGATGTGTGATGCGTACCTTTTGGCATTCCCACTCCCGTTGACCGATTCCTTAAATATCTGGTGCTGATCAGTCACTGGGTAGGTTGAGCACTATTAAAGGAAATCATGTGATTTATGGCGTTCCCTTTACAAACTGAATGCTATTACTATTACTATGTATCATATAAGGCAATGGTTTTTTTTCAAACGTTCATATTCTTTGATCATTGAGCAACGACTCAAGGAAACATAGGTTTAGCCCGAAGTGAACATTTGAGAGCACAAGGAAGACGACACATCTATGAAAATGTAGAGACTAATAAAATAGTATAAAATATTCATTGTATAACTAAATATTTGCTTTCCTTGCTCGTGTATGCCCTATAAAAAATTATGTACAGAATAGGTACACTAATACGGAATATACAATAATATTAATACGGAACACGGGAAAAATGTGCGTATCTTTACGTATTAGTATAATTTCTGTATGTATGCTTTCCGTACGCCTTCTATATTTTAGGTAAGGAAAAGAGCACTATTTTGTATTAGCATTATGGTTGTTGTTTTCCATAATTGTTTTTGGAGGAAAGAGTAATTATGGCAATAATTACAGATTTTCAATATTCTTTATGTGAATGAACTATTGCTATATATCAATGTGTCATTTGACTTATTATCAAAGAGTTCAAATAATTACGGAGATAATTTTGGCAGCTGTTAAAGTTAATTATGAAAAACCAATTATTATGCAACGATCATTTACTAAGAATAATTAGTACTAATTAGTATGTATTCTGCATAAAAAATACGTTTTTCTAGTATGTTGTTGTAGATGTTGTTTGTTACCTATCGAAATACCAAATGGAAAATACTTTAAAGAATATATAAAGTGAAAATAAATGACACTATTTATTTTGGAATTAGAATTAAAATTTCCTAAACTTTTAGTAATAAAATGGATTTTTTATTATACCAAAAAATAAAAAAATAATTTTCTTGTTTCTTCTGAAGGAAAATGAAACATCGTAATCAGTAAAATTTTTGTTTATATTACAATATTTCACTTTTTTACTTCATTCCCACGCTTCCCAAAAATTCAGGAACGATAACTTTCAGCTATTCGCAATTTAGAAAAATAGAAGAATTGCTTTTTTAAAAAAATAACAATCTAACTAAGTTAAATATGTCTGGTTACACGCATCTACAATAATAAAATTCATTTGGCGGAATTGGCGGGCGCTAAATATTAATATGGCGCACGCACTCGAATTTTTGTATGATTAATATATGGGGCATACATAATTGTATTAATGTAATATTTGTCTAGACAAAAATAGTTGATATGAATTAATCTACTATGGAACCCAAGAATTATATATAGTACTATCAGAAGTATTTTGAAGAACAAGGTGAAAATTTTCTTCTTTTATTTTCAAAATAAACGATATTCAGGCATTGGAAACTTATCCAAGAAAAAGAAAAGAATTACTTATGAAATTTACCAAGAAGAAAGAGAAATAATAAATGTTAAAAAAGAAAGCAGGATGAGAACATACAATTACAAAACAAAAGGCAAAAATCCTTAGAAGGAAAATAATCTTATTATTATTATTATTATTACGATATTGATTTATTTTTTTCTTTCCCTATAGAAAATAAACATACGGAATGTATAAGAATTTCCTCATTATTATACGGAATAAATTTTTAGATACGGGAATGGACGTATTTAATCTGAGTTTTGAAATCTATCAATGTAATTCAATTTATGGATATTAATATATACGGAAAATGAGCGGAAAATGTACGGAATTAAAAATCATTATAATAATACTAATACTGACTGAAAAGGTACGTTTTGATTCCGCATATAAGGTATTGAATGGGCACGGAATTTACAACTTACTAATACTAATAGTGAAATGTGCTTTTTTATTCCGTATATAAGTATGGAATTTGCAACATACTAATACTGAATATGAAAAGGTACGTTTTAATTCTGCATACATATATAAACTCGATAAGTCGGTCATATGAGCTCACCCCCACATGACCGCTTATCGAGTTTACATATTAATATGTATAAGATACGGAATTTGTAACATATTAGAACCAATACTTAAAAGGTTCTAGTACTAGTATGTTTTTGATTCCGCGTATAATGTACGTAATGTGTAAAATACTTATCGTAAAATAATAAATAAAATGTATAAATTGACTTTAGATCAAACCCGCCTATATAATTATTTGATAAACATTCGTTTTGCAAGTTTCATAGATCAAACCCGCCTATATATTTATTAAATAATTGACAATAATAAAACGTTGATTAAATAAATTTACAAACAGCTTTATAGATCTCGAGTTTCTTACTTACTTCGATCAAACCCGCCTATATAATTATTGAATAATTGATAAACATTCGTTTTGCAAGTTTCATAGATCTTGACTAACACTTACTTCGCCTATATAATTATTGAATAGTGGATAAACATTCGTTTTGCGAAATTCATAGATCTTGACTTCGACCAAACCATCCTATATAATTATTGAATAATTGATAATAATAAAACGTTGATTAAATATATTTTGCAAGCATTATCAAATTATTCATTAGTTTGTGTCACTATAAAATAGTATTTCTGTAGATCTCCATTGTTGTTGTACAGTACTTTGAAATTTTTTTTTATTATTTTCTTTTATACATATATTTAATATGTAGTATGGTTAGAATTCGATTAGAGCTTTCTAATAATCAACAAAAACAGAAACAATTATTTTAACTTTCCTCAAAGTAGATAAATAACTAATTTGTTTTTGATTGTAAAATTTAACATCTTTCATCTTTAAGGAACACCTAGCTAATAAATATTGTAGGAATATAGATAATGATTCAAGAACTAAATTAGGTCTAGTTTCTGATATTAAAATAAAATATAAAAGAAAATTAATAGAAATTTTGTGTGTTGAGCATGCAAAAAAAGTAGCACTTTTAGACCTTCTAAAGAGCAAAAGAGATTATACAAAATTACAATTACTACTTCACAATCAAATACATCTTGTATCTGAAATATTATCAAAAAATAATAAGCTTAATGAAATTTATAAAATTAAATCCTTTGGTATAAGGACTTCAGGTAACACATCTTTTAATAATATTTATTTTTAATCAATATTTTTTTAGGTTAGAATTAAAAGACTATGTGATGTATTTAATGCACTCACAATTATATATATTTGAAGAACTTTTTAGTACTAATCTTCCTACAAATATATATAATTATCTATGATACACTGGTTTATTTAATATGATTGGCTCGGTCTAAAGACCTCTTATTGCCACATCATGTGCTCAAATTTCAAAAATTGTGATTTCATGATTTGTTCAAAAATGCAATAAAATTTTTTAAAAAAGGTTTCACGTGATTTTTGATTAAAAAATTATTTTCCTTACTGCCAAATTTAGATATGATGGTTGAGTATTGGTCTAAATTTAGTAATGATGTTCAAAAACTAGTCTAAATTTAGCAATGATCCTGGTGCTCAAATTTCTCATGAGCATAGTAAAGTACATGTTTTAAAAAAGAATAGAACTCTACAACAAAGAAATTTTTTGAGAAAATCTTTTTATTACATTAAAACTAAATACATCTTCTGTCAACTAATAGAGCTATTTTTTAAAAGATAGGCAGAAAATGACTTCTATACTTTTGAAATTTGCCCAAAATTTAGGAGGTCTTTAAACCAAGCCAACTATATTATTAAGGGTATTTATTTATTTGACTCATTTGAAGTTTTTCACATACATTCTCATTAGAGGTCCTAAAAGTAAATTTAATAATTTTTAGGGTGAAGTGGATAAGAATCACAAAATTCTTCTATATGTTTTATCTAATAAGAATAATCATAAGGATGATACTCTACTTAAGGATTGGGTAGTTGATTTTGAAGTCACTTCTCCTCCAAGAAAAAGAAAAAAATTAATTTACATATTTATAATGTTAATTGATTTTCAAACACCTTTTCTTTTTCTTTTGAATATTCATTTAACTAAAATTAGAAAAAATATCATTTGCAATAATATTAGTATTGGTAAATTTATATATTGGAAGACATCAAAAAAAATGATTAGCAAAATAAAAATAATTTTAAAATGACTTTTGGTGCAGCAAATCTTAACTCAATTTATTGTTCTTATCTAGAGATGGAAGTAGGGTTATGTTGGTTTTTAAAAGACTAGTCCCGAGACTGATTCTTTTGCCTTCCAAAAAAAGATCAGTCTTTTGAGACCAAGACTGGACCAGACTGGACCAACACAAATTTAGATTGGAGATTGTATGAAATTTTCAATATTAATACACATCAGGCACATGATGCACATTGCATTTGCTGATCATTTGCATTTTTTAAAAATTCTTCTACTAAAATTGAGTTTATTAATAATGACAATAATGATGATGTTGATGATAATGTTGATGACAACATTGATGATGATAATGATGATAATGGAAGTGATGATAATATTGGTATTAATGATAACTAAACTTTTGATTCCTGAAATTTTTGGTAATACCAATGTTCACTTTGTCTTGTTTTGTTGCAGTATGCCCAAACTAATTATTTAATAAAAATCAAATTACATACTGCAACTAAATAATTATTTTTTCTTTTCTCCTTCTTATCTTCATTATATAGAGATTTTATAACATGTCCATATTTGTTCATCATTTTTGCATATTTATGACAATTTGGAGAAATACCCTCTATCATAAATTAATCAAAAAAATAAATATATATTCAAATATAAGAAATAGAAATTGAATTAAATAATCACCTTTATATATCTGTTATTTAAATCATAAATAGCACTATAACATTCCTTTAACTTATTCATTTCACTATTATTTACAAATGCTCCATACTTGGTGAATAGAATTCATAATCTTTATAATTACCATTGACATATACCCTATAAGAAGGCCAATCTCTATTCTCCTTTACAGATTCAAAATCGTACTATATTGAGGGAAAAATTGAATTGTTCCAATAAGGTAATATTGTTAAATAAATTTTTGTATGGGTCCTTTTTGGGTTTTGTCAATGGTAACAACATCCCACAAAGCCTTTCAATTGGATATTGCCAATAGTTATAACATGATCCAAAATCATCAATACACTTGCTTATATGTAGCAAGTAATGAAATGATAACCAGTGTATTCTCAATATTTCTTGATCAGTCACCATCTTCATTATATTTACTAAAATCAAAACAATATTTAGTAAACCAAGAATAATGTGAAAAAAAATTAACAATAATAATTTCATTTACTCAATATAATGTAAATAAAAATTTCCAAATTTTCTTTAATCAAGTTTGGCTCATCTCCTTCAAGTTGTAGTTCTGTACATAATTTTGCTGCTTTTACAAAATAATTCCATCCCTGTAAAAATCATTATTTTTCATTAGTAATTGAGAAAAAAATTTTAATTAAAATTTAAATATCATCATAATTACCTTTCATCAATTCTACTTTTCATTAATGGCAATGAAAAATATAATATCCATTTAGACCATTCTTCAGCTTTATAACCAGCTGAATGTTTATATATATTCCTTGGTATTCTTCCATTACTTGGTATATTGTACTTGTTATTATATAAGATATTGCCAACTTCTTGCAAATCTTTTTTTGCTAATTAAATAATCTTCCTCTAAGTTAATATTATTCTTATAAAAATTTCCAGACAAAATTTGCACATATTTGGACCCACATTTTCAAAAAATAGATGCATTATTATATCAAGTGGAAAGGATTTTGGAAACTTTATAGATTTCAATTCAAACAAAATGCTTTTTTCTTTAACACCTATTAAATTATATTCATATAAAATGGTAAAGCAATTAGAAATTAGAAATAGATATAGAATAAAAAACAAATAAATGAAATTACTGTATTTTTTTATTAATGACTCTTTAAGAGTATTCGATTCACAATCATTAATTTCATCAATATTTTTTAAAATTTCTTCATGATCTCAAAGAGGAAGGTCTGATATCGAATGGTTTCATAAAGGATAATATATATGTTGATTGCTTGACAACAATTTTCCTTCATTCTTACAAAATCTACACCCTTGATAAGAATTATGTCCTATGAAACACATAATTTTTGTTACAGCAGGGATATCTCCTGTCCAAGCTAATATGTGAGCTTTTAATTGAAACAGCTCAACATTCAAGGCATCATAACATTCTATTTCACCTATAAAATAATGACAATTCAATTAACTTGTAATTATTAAAAGTCATATAAATTAAAATTTAACCTTGTAAAGTCTTCATTTCTTCAATAAATGGTTATAGGAATGAATTGAAATCTTTTTGTTGATTGGGACCTGGTATAATAAAACTTATTATTAAATTTTCTTTTTTCACTCTTACTTCTGGAGCAAGATTGTTATTTATTACTAAGAAGACCCAATTATCATCTGTCTTTTGTTTGAAGATTTGATATCCATCACAAAAAACTGTTAATGCCAACTCCCCTCTATCTTCAAAAAATACTTTTCACATAATTCTTTGTACATCTTTCCATCCAATAATCTCATCATCATCATCACTATCCATTGAAGTATATTCTTAACAATATAATAATTCTTTAACTCTTTCTTTATTGTTGAATTGAATTTTCAATCTCTCAATTAATGGTAAATAAGGCATGTGTGTTTTTTTTCCTTTTTATTTATGCACCTAGGTTCATCACAAAAAGGGCATTTGTATTTTCCATAAAAGAGACAACAACTATTAATGCACATTCCATGGTATTTAGGTTTGATAGGTACCAATTTGTCCAAATGTTTTTTAGATTTAAAAAGACTAATTTTTTTATTTTTAATCATTTGAAAGAAATGTCATTGAATGTTTGATTTGAAAAATTATATATCACTTTCAAGTATAGTAAATTCAACCCAGTTAAGAGATCATCAGAAATTTCTCCTTCATCTAATATTACTTTGCTGATCGTTAAATTGACCAATAAGAATGCGAGAACGTGTTTTTGTGTTACAATTAAAGAATACTCTGGCCGTTTAAGGGATAATAACAACAACAATAGCTAATTAAAATATGCTTTTCACAGAATTTAAAATGGTTTTCTGTCAATAAACAAACATGTTAAAGTGATATTATAAAAAGATTACTGGTTATGAATGGAATCAGTAAGTATCTTTATATCAAAATAACAAAAAATTTTATTTTAAATATTAATTATTTTTCTTTTAAACAGCCCCTTGGGTAATTTAATGATTGAAAAGAAGTCTGAATACATATTATGCAGATCAGATTAACAGTAAACATATTTGTTTATTCATTTGTTTATTTAAAAAATATTTTTTTCATTAACATTAACATGTTTATATTGTTTAATATTTAATAGTAATATAATTAATCTTGACAACTTTAAAATGTTCTTCAAGTTGAATAAAGTATTGGACTTATAGAATTCCTTCTGAAAATTTGCAGATTTATTACTTTCTGTACAAAAATCAGAAATATAAATTTCCAAGTCATCAAATAATCTAAATGAATATTATTTTCTACAATGTTATTAAAAAATAGTAAGTGTTGCTTGTAATATTTTTATAATTTATATAAAATCATTAAAGCTATAATATTATTTTTTAACAAGAAAAATAACAATTACTATCACAGGCAGCTGGAATCCAATTACACAAGTGAAGTGATAGTTAAATTTTTAAAATCAATAAGAAAAGTTCAAATATTGTAGACATTTCAACAACTATGTAAGCATTTATTTAAAATAATTTTTTATAGATTATAATATTTTTATTAAATTTTTGTTAAATTTTTGTTGAATTTTTGTTTTAGGGGTAAAGTCACAATTGTAGGATCCTCTAAAAGAAAAAAAGGATAATTACAAGCCCAATGAGCCTGATTCTACAAAATCAAAACTGGAAGAAGAGCTGATGCAATAATCAGCAGTGAAAACTGTCTTCCAGAATTTTTTGGTTTGTTGATGTGTGAGGTAGTTCCCAAATCCCAAATTACTTTGTACAATTTCTGCTCCACTTTCCTAAAGGACCAGGAAAACTCTATTGTATGTGACTGCCAAATTAAATGACAAATCATATTAATGCGAATCTTGGTTTTTTATAATTACAATAGATTTGGATATGTGGACAAAATGGACAAAATAAAGCTTGTTTTGGAAAATTTGTTAATGGAAAGTATTAATGTAATAAATAGTTTTAAAAAGCTCAATCAAATGGATGACTTTGTTGATATATTAGATATTTGGCTAGAAAAACTTAATCCAGCACATGATATTACACCTAATGACAATGTGATTGCTGATGAAACAATTATACATAATAATAATAATATTAATAAAAATGAAAAAGCTGCAATAAAATTGCAGCAACTATCTGAAATTAATAAAAATGCAAATCAATTTTCCAAAACAAGGATTAATATTAGAATAAGAATGTATTCCCAAAAAATAAACTACTTCTCATGAAATTTTCACATGAAAAATACTGTTGTGATACAGGAAGATAGGCCTTAATAGAAATATATGATAAGTGATCTAAAAATCTTGCTGGCTTTTCTACCCAGTATGTAGCAAAACGTTTTTGGTGTGAATCATAAGGAATTTTTTATTATGACTTTTCATTTTAAATTTTATTATTGGTGACTTTTTATTATTAATATAAATAATGCGAATTATAGTGTAACCGATAACATTTTTTATTAATAATGCGAATCAGTAATCAGTGTAATAGTAACTGATAACATTTTTTTCTTTTTCTATAAAAGCAATGACCTTTTCCATTTTCTATCAATGCGAATCTATGGTGAGGCGATCACGTTTTAAAAGTACTTTCGAATCATAGTCCTTTTCCTAATACTAACCAATAAGCATATAATGTAACAAAGGCACTTATTGGTTGACTATGGGTGTACAAAGTAGTTTGGAAATTCTTTGACAGGCTGGTCAAATCCATTTTGTACATTTGGGATTTTGGCAGCATGTATAATGCATATGGTATTAATTGATTAAAATTATTTAAACATATATTTGGAAAAGGTTTTTACAGATGCTAACAATGAAAATTTTTCATATGAATATTTAATAGAATCTTTGTACAAATACAGACAAAGATGCAGAAAGAATTATATTTTAACAATCTTCAAAATCATGTTAAAATATTTAAACCACACAGACAATGAAGATTGTAGATTAATCCAATTGATATTTGGGAAGGAATACATTGTAAGAATTGGATTCAAAATGTTGAAGTAAGTTGAGAATTTAATTCAATCACATCTTTTATATAATATTAAAAAAATTTAGTTGATTTAGATATGAAAAAGAAAGACAAATTTAATCAAACAATTGACAACAAGTATGTGGCAGAGGGTGCAGACCTTTTACAAATAATGAAATTTTACAAGATCCGGTTAATGACATTTGGAATTGGAAAAATATGAAACATTAAACAAAAAACCAACAATAAATAAGTTTTTAAGTGATAGAGAAATAATGAGATAGTAATTAATTAGTAATGATTATAATCATGAATTTATTTAAGCTTTATCTAATTTATCAAATAAAATACTTATAGATAAAATCAGAAAAATTTGTAATTAAATAGATACTTGTGTACATATTATATACAGTGTATCACGAAAAAATTGGCAAAGTTGCTTTTAATAAAAAAGTATCAAAAATCATGTAACCAGAAAATTAAAAATAAACAAATTTCTTTTATTTTTAATTGATTAGAATTTTAGAAAATAGAATCATGTAATTTTATGTGAATGATCTCCAAAACTTAAGCTAAAAATTGATATGATTTTTTTGTATGATTATTATGTATGATATTGTGTTAAAAAAAATCCCATGTTAAATTTTAGAGACAAAAGTTTAGTGAAGTTTAAAAAAGAAGATGCCGATCAGCTTTACAAAAAAAACTGATGATAGTATTTCATGTTGATTTTTTTATTTAACAAAGTAATTAATGGGCTTTTAAATGAATCAAATTTATTTAATTATCTTGTGTATTTGTTGAGCAATTCAATTTTTTATTTTTGCCATTTTTTCCGCGACACACTGTAATACTTATTTCGTTTTAAATATTTTATCTAGAGGTAATTCTATATATCACTTAATATTAAGAAACTGTTAATCATAATCGCGTTACAAATGACTAAATTTTGGTCCCTGAAATTTTTGATAATACAAATGTTCACTTTGTCGGTTTTGTTGCAGTATGCCCCATATATAATCAATCAACACGAACATTTTAAAAACAAGAAATTATTAGACAACAAAAGATAAATCATATCTTATTTATTTTAATAAGATAAAAAAACAACCAGAGTAGTTACATGAGGAAAACATCCAGACCCAAAACCATTGATGCTACACTATTATCACTATTAATAAGATCTCCTTCACCTTTTATATATCATTTCTTCTTTATATTATTCACCATTTTTTATTTCTACCCATTATTGAATTGCTTTGATATTGATGGTTTTCTTCATAGAATTAATTTTTTGTTGATAAAGTTTTTGCGGTGGAGGCAGCAACTCTGAATAATTCGTGGATATCAATTACTGAACCTGAAACTATTTTTCACCGTCAAATTTTAAGCATCTCAGAGCCTTGTCACCATGTCTTTGAAAAGGAATATGTCCATTATACCAATTTCACCTTATTTGGTGACCTCTTTTATAGAAAGAACAACTTCGTACTTATCCAAAAAAGTTTATCATGACGAAATAATCTACAGATCACATCTCCACCAATTCGATTTCGGTGTAGGAAGAAATCAGAACTGTCTCAATTAACCAAAAATAGTTAGTTTTTTTGCATGAAAATGAGTGAATTGTAAATTCATGTAAAACATGTCGACATTTTTCCTTAGATGATGCAATATAACAACATAATTAATCATATTTCTATATAAAGATAATCCTATACATATTTATTTTTTTCTTAAACCATAAAGGTTACATGATTAAAAAAACCTGTATATTTGGATTGGAGTTACCTAATTCATTTGGAAAAAATTAGGGTAAAAAAATATTTCAATTTTATGCTATTGTTATAACGATCAAGTTGATCAACTCAATAATCATTATTAATCAGTTTGATCCGCTGAAAATCTGATTATATATAACTTAAAAAAATAAAGTATATAGGTGTAATTTTAATTAAATAAATTAGATAATATAATACAAAATAAATATACAACAAAATATATTATGACAATTTAATTACATTCATTAATTAAATTTATTAATTAATTTATGACTTTCTATTAAAATCTCATTAATATTTGGTTCCTAACTCCACTTCATTAAACTTTAAAATCCCAAATTCTAATTTCTTTGTCATCACTGCCACTAATAATTTTCGTGTCGCTCAATGCGACACATGTCACTGGTTGGCTATGTCCTTCCAGGGTATGTAAATCATGTCCTGTATCCTTATCCCAAATCTTCACTAAATTATCCTGTGAACCACTCACCAATCTCAATTTATCTAATGCCAGAGTCCAAACACCTTCAAGATGACCAAATAACGTTTTACAACATTTTCCTGATTGAAAACACCAGATTTTTATTGTATTGTCGAGCGAACCCGACACAATAATAGGTAAATCTTCGTTTTCATGATTTCCTCCTCCGCATCTTTGTTCAACAATACTATCACCGCCATCATCATTATTATTACTACCATAATCAACATTATTGTTGTTGCTTTCTTGATGAACTGAAGAAAACATTTTTGAAAACATCGATAGGGAGGCAAATTCTATCGACGGAATTTGTAATATATGCCCCTTGAATACTCGTACACAAGTTTTTGTTGGTAAATCCCATACTCTTATCGTACAGTCATCTGACGAAGATAAGACTCGTGACTGTTTGTAAATTCTAACACAGTTCACACGATCCGTGTGGCCTCTCAGAGCATACTGTACACATGACGTGAAATTCCAGACCCTAACTGTGCAATCAGCTGATCCACTAGCAAGTATCCGTTCATTAAAATGTATAGAATTAACTCCACCCATGTGTCCACGAAACGTCCTGATACACTGCCCTGTCTTATAATTCCATAATTTTATCGTATGATCCAAAGAGCCTGTTACAAGCTTGACATCATCGAATTGTAGTGTTTTAACACAACTCCAATGTCCTTTAAGTGTACGCACATTTTCTCCTGTTTCAATATCCCATATTCTAACAGTTGCGTCATAAGACCCACTAATTAGAATATTCTTCTCTTCGTTGAACTGGAGGCAGGTTACCCCATCTCGATGTCCTTTCAACACACGGGTATTATATGTACCACTTCGCCAATTTCTTTCAACGGCAAGACGCTCTTGATAGATTTCTTTCCAGGGTTTAGTAGTTATTACTTGACAATTATTATTATTATCATCATCTGAATATAACAGCGCAGATCTAAGTGATGTTGTGCATAAACGTTTTGTCTCTCTTTTTATATTATCTAATGTTGATGGCGATGTAAGTGAAATAGAAGGGCGTGATGTCATTACTAAGGTATTATTATTATTGTTATCATCATCTAAAATATTTAAATAACGAGTAGATGAGGGTGGTGGTGATGATGGCGGTGATGGATTTTGAAGGATTTTTCTTTTATTCATGTGTTTTCTTTTTTCCAATAAAGGAAGTCCCCAACCACATTTATAACATTTTTTATCGATGTGTTGTTCACATAATTTATGCCACACCTGATCATCGTCAGCTAATAGCCTCCATGTTTTGGAAACTTGAGCTGCACGACATAGCGAAGTTGCATCTAAATAAGAAAGAATATGAAGCGAGAGTTCCTTTGGAATGTATGCAATAAAGTTTATTCGATTCAAATCCTCCAATCTACTTGAAAGAAATGATAATTGTGTTGAGCAGCATTGGTGCAATAAACCTTCTAAAGCAGTATTTCGACTTTTTAAAGAAAGTTTAGAAAATAATGATAATATTTGTTCAATTGTTTGTTTTTCTTCTGTTGGCATCTTATTATATAATTAAAAATACAACAATAATTGATTTTTTGTATATATAAAATAATATAAAATAAATTTTTTAAAGACAAATAATTAATTACCTGTTGTAAATTCTCAAGCATGGTAGATTCATTAGAATTCATAGAATTTCTCTTTAGACCTAATTTATGTCGATAACAATAATACCTTTTATTAGTATTAATGTTATTGTTGTCATTTTTTTGTGAAGTATGTAAATGTGAAGAAGACATTATTTTTATTTTATTTTTTTGTAAGCAAAATTACTAAAATACTTGATATTTACAAAATTGCGAGCGAATTCATATTGTTAATAATGGTGTGTGTAACGGATCTCCTTATCCCTTAATATTAAGGGTAGAGTTCTGTTACACAGTATATCATAGAAATGTCTAATTCTTAAATTTCATTACTAATTGTACCAAAATTTTATATGTTAAAGCAAGAATTTAATTATAATCCATTGAAACATTGTGGTTACAAGATCTAAAATAAAATAAAAATTTCTCGCACATTATCTACTTTGTTATTTCAAGTTACATACAGAAAAACTTGATCATAGTATAATATCTTTTTTAAATTATATATATCTGATATATTAAAAAAAAATTACAATAAATAAATAAAAATTTTATTAAATTTCGAGTTCAAGTTGGTTCATTCTTACTTATTATCATTTACTTTTATTAAATAAATAAAACCCTTTTTCCTAAATAAACATAATAATATTTTGATTGCATTATAATCAGTTTGTCAACAATATTTTGAGGTCCTTTTTTTCCATTAGGATTAATGTTCTTTTAATTTCACATCAAGCAAACAAAAGAAATCAATTAATTTTATCTTGTATGATCAGCAAGATTTGTAGTATAACATTTGATTGACCATTCATTTCCCCATTTTACAATTCAAAATTTTTTTTTTGAAAATGGACTCAACCAGGGTTGGCAAATTGACTGGTCCATTGAGAACTGATGGACTTTGAGTTGGTCCATTGCCATTAATAAAATACTAAATATAGTTAAAATGTTATGCTAATGGACCCAATAGACCATCAATGGACCACCAATGGGCCACATATTTGCCAACCCTGGACTCAACAATACTAGGAAAATATTTTAATGAAAATGAAAGGTTATTAAATACAGAGGATTTTTATGATGTAAAATATATGTAGGTATAGAACCAAACATAAAGGAAATCCATGCACATACATCCATCATATGTACTCATTGTCCATTTTTTAGCATTGCATTAAGTAATGCAACAAAAGAAAATGGTTATTATATTGTTAAAAAAACCAATATTAATGAGCAACCTTTCAAAAATATTCTAAAGCTTATACTAAATTATTATTATATTAATTTATTTATTGAATATATAATAATTATTATTTACTTTTAAAAGATTTTTGTATACATGTAAGATTGAATTAGATGAACTTACTGGAGTTGATGTATTAGAAATATTAATTGCAGCTGATGAATTTGGACTTGAATCACTTTATGAATATACAATGAATTATTTTATTAAAAAATATGAAGATTATATAAAAGAAAATCCAGTTAAAATTCTACAATTGATTTATTCTTATGAAAAATTTAAGGAATTGAAAATATCTATCTAAAAAAATTTTTCAATCAAGTGAATTTGAGTCATTGGAAAAACCAATTTTATTGGAAATTCTCAAAAGAGATGATTTTTCTATTAATGAAATTGGTCATCACAAAATTTTGTTGATTTAAGCAACACAATAAAGGAGTTTATTTCTTTAATAAGATTTCAGGATATTTCTAATGAGGAATTTTTCAATAAAATTGTGCCCTATCAGAAACTTTTTACTGATTTTTTCTGGAACAATCTATTACAACATTATTTAGTTCCTAATAGTCACAAAGTCTGGATCAATGACAATTAATGAAAAGCTTGCTTTGCTTTTTGCAAGTTGGATAGATAGAAAAAGCTCACCATACAGTTCACACAAAGAAGTTAAATATGAATTTAAACTTTTATATTGCAGTAGTAGAGATGGTTTAGATCATACAGTATTTCATCAAAAATGTGACAATATCAACAAAACTCTTGTAGTTGGTAAAATACAAAATTCAGATCAAATAATTGGTGGTTATAATCCACTTAATTGGAATGGAAATGTAAAAAATGCTTATAAATCAACAATTGGAAGTTTTATATTTAATATAAGTGATAGAAATGATATTAATGCTAGCTATATTAATTATTTATACATATGCAATTCTTTGTGGTCATCATTGTTTACCTATTTTTGGTGTTAATGATATTTGTTTTTATATAGATGGTGGTGTTTATAGTAATATAAATAGTTATAATAACATCAATATAGTAAGTAATATTAAATTTGATGAATTAGAAGTTTTTCAAATAATTGATAAACAATAAAATAATCAAAATTTACTATTACTATTGTACTTCTTAATACATGTATTATTCAATTTAAATAAAGATATACAGTGCATTTTAAAAAAGAATTTTTTGCATATCTCAACAATTACACAAAGCTTATCGCATAAATAAAATTAGCAAGTAGCATTATCCTTGTTTTTTTCTAAAATCTATTTTGACTGCATTCTTTGATCATAATCTCTTCAATTTGTCAATATTTTTTTGGCATCCTTTTTTTGGCATCATTTTTCATTAGGATGAAATTTGAAATATTGTGAGCATGTGAGTTATTCACTTACTAGATAGTCCTTATTATACATGTTGTCAAAATTAATTTGATTTTGACACAATTCCCAAAATTTCAATTTTTAATTGCGTTTTCATGACTCAATTAAAGTCACCTGATTGAGTCAAGTGATCAACTTATTTAAACATAGTTGAAATTTTCGTGTAGAAACATTCTCAGTTATTTTTAGAGCGAGCAATGATTCAAATTCCTTCGTTTAGATGGAGTTTGAGAAATAAAGATATGTTACAATTTAGAATGTTAAGATAGATAATCTTTCTCGGTAATTTCCGTTATTATTATTATTATTATTATTATTATTATTACTATTATTATTACTATTATTATTAGCATAACAAATACTAACGTAATCGCCGTGGTTTCCTTTCCTGAAAACATCTTTTTTGGAACTCTGATATTGCTTAAATTCTTCTTCATAGTAACGAATTTAGTTCCTTTAATGTTATTTAACGACTTCTTTTATTTAATGAACAAGAGCAATATCTTTATTCAATAAATAAATTATCATATGCACATAGCAATAAAATAATAATAATCTTTACAAAACCAAATGGTTAGACTAGAGGTCATGGTCTTGAAGGATTTTCTAAGAAAATGATCCAAGAACTTAGCTTCTCAGGCAAAATAAATATAGTACAACTAATTTATTTGTATTTTTCGAGTTTGAGCTAAGCGGTCTTGACCCGTTGTCAAGCGCAAAAGAATATTGGAGACTAACTTCGAATCCCTCAATAGTAGCATATAAAAATATTCAACGATGGCCATTAGTTAAAGCACCAAAGGCACGGTTTTTGTCATTGACTCCCTGTTTTAGTCTAATGGTTCATGAAATATTGTAGTAACTTACAAAAAAAGATTCAACACAAAAATTGAAATAGAAACCTGCCCAGTAACACAAGTAAATTAGAGACAAACTGTACCAAAGCTTTCATCCATCTTCGCTTCAACAATTGCAAAGTAGGGATCAGTACCGTGTTGGCTCATCAATCCAGTCTTAAGCTTCACAAGGTTAGGTCCATCGCGATTTGCAGCCGGGGTCAAAACTGACCAGCATTAAGCGAAATTCTGGTGACGCTTCCTATAATGCTGGCCAATTTTGACCCGGCGTAATAATAAGTTTTAATTTTCCTGATGAGCCTTATCCCTCCAGAAATTGGGATAAGATGCAATATTTCATCAATGACTTCTTGTCATTCTGTAGTTTCTTTCTACCTCTACAAACTTCCTGAGCTGCCCCACAAAAGTATTGCTAATCAAGCCATTAGTTTTATGTTTCTCGAAATACTTTCCAACTTGTAGCTTATGCTGCTTTTACTGAATTATGAAAATAAATCTAGTAATCATTAATATACAAATGTAAATATTTATTTTGTTTTTTGGAGGACAAAAAATTTTTTGAAAATACTTTATTATTATTATTATTATTATTATCATCATCATCCTTAAAAAACAAAACTTATTTATTGGCTAAATTTTGGCCCTGCCCATATGACAGAGAATATTATGGGGAAAAGTTCATTTAATATTAACAAGTAGCGCTTAATCGAGTATATAACTTGTTCTATCAGATTTAATTATTAAATGGTTTAGTGAGAAAGATGGTAAATGCCAATGATAGAATTTTTTATATAGCAAAAATTAAGGAATTTTTTACGTAGCCCCTCTTATTCTAGCGAAAATTATAAAAAGAAAAACTCTGATTCATTTTATAAGTATCAGTAAAAGAAAAGTAAATGTTTATTTTTAAAAAATTAATATTTTGCGTGAGTTAAATTATAATCCAAATCATATAAAACATTGTAAATTTAGATAAAGATTAAAATTAAAATTTTATCAATAAAAAACATTGACACCCACACATACATACCAACTACATCTATCTATAAAATAAAATTTTAAATTTAATTTTTTGGAGTATTCATCATGTAGCCGGGTTTTGATGCATTCTAGATTTATGTCGTCTGAGGTCGCCTCCGGTAACAAATTTTTTGGCACATTCAACTACATCACATTCTAAATTTTTTAATCCAAGATGACGTCTTGTATGATCCTGCAATTCAACTTTTTGACCAAATGATTTGGTACATCCTGGATGATCACACTTAAAACCTTTTATTCCAAAATGTATAGATTTTGTGTGTCTTCGTAAACTGGACTTTTGACTAAATGTTTTGCCACACCCTGGATATTCACAATTGAAATTTTTCATTCCAAGATGTAATCTTTTATGCACTTGTAAATTATATTTACGATGAAATGTTTTTGAGCAACCAGGATATTCACAGTTGAAATTTTTTCCACCATGAATTTTGCTATGTTGGTTAAGTAATCCCTTAGTGCTAAAAATCTTACCACACCTTGACATTGTGCAAACAAATTCTTTGTCGTTTTGATCTGTGGTGGTGTCATTACCATCAATAACAATAACGTCATTGTCGTTATTGTCATTGTCATTGTCGTTGTTGTTGTTGTCATTGTCATTGTCAGAATTAGCAGTAGGTGTGGCAACAGAAGAAGAAATTGGTGTACTACTGGTAATACTACCGGTGATACTGCTAGTTTCCATTTTAATGATTTGACTTATCATCATTGGATTATCGTCATCGTCATTTTCATCAACATCCTCATTATTATTATCTTTAACATCAATGTAATTAATACCATTGTCATTACCAAGGTCACTTACGACTTTATTGGAATCGTTTTCATTTTGGCCTTCATTATTACAATTGTTGCCATTATCATTACAAATTTCGCCATCATTTTCTTCGTTGCCATTATTGCCATCATGATCACTATACTTTTCTAGGATTTTTTTGATGTTATCAACATCTATTAATATTATATCGACAACAAATAAACAAAATAATAATTAATTGAAATCAATAAGGAAAAAAATTTGATTTAATTTTACATATTTTCTTTTAAAAGAAATATCTACCCTTTAATATGTTTTGGAGGCCATTGTTATTTTTTGTTGAAAATTTTAAATTTAAATTCAAATTTATATTTAAATTTACTTCCATTTTTTTTTATTTCAGGAAAGAAATTTTATTATTATTGATTTTAATTGGTTGAAATTATGAGTGGGGGGTTTTTTTATCAGACCTTTTAATATTTAGTAATCGGAACGATAGATTTAAAATGTAAATGTAAATTCACTGTTTGATCAAATATTTTCAAGGCTTTGGAGTATTAGTTTTTTTTGCACTTGTACAAAAATCTGCAAATTAGGGAGCAAACTAATACATTAATATATAGATATTTTTATATTAATTTATTTATATAATCTGCACCTCATTTAAAGGATCCGCGTCCCGTACTGCACTAAATAATAATGATATTTTCACTATGGAAGATTTGTTATCCGAACCGGATAATATTAAAAACATCTTTAATTTCTTTTCTACGTATTCATATGTTCTATGAAATCCATATTAATACAAATTGTATTATTATTAAATAACAGACGGACGGTTTACACTGAAGTAAATATATTATATTAATATAGGTAAAATTTTTACGCCTTGTACACAATTCCTTTGATTGTCCAAGATGCTGAGCATTTCACAAAATTCTAGTGCACAAAAGAGTGGTTAGAGCCTCCTCTCCTTTCGAGTGATCCTGGAAAACCCATTCGGATTAATAATAGTAACAGCGTTGAAATGAAATCCTCATACAAGATATGAGGTTCATAAATAATAATATGAGCGAGTAGCTAACCCAAAAACTTGTAATATAGGAGAGGTACATCGTAAATTTAATTGTTGGCGAGAAAATAATCCAACTTTTTTTTTTTAAAAAAAAGGTTAGAATGTTTATCTTTTCAATCAATTCGCAATATTTAATATAGTGATTCGAGTTACACATCAACTTCGGGCAAAAAAAAAACAATTAAAAATCTTATCATTATTTTTCTATATTAAGAAATATTCTTTTAAATTTGTTGTGATCGATCGGATATTATTTGTTTTCCCATAAAATTTAAATTTTTCCCAAAAAAAATATGGGTGTTCCTAAGAAAGCAAAATTATCAAAGAAAGCAAAAAAAGGTTCTGACGATGACTCATATCAGGAAGAAACAAGTCTACCTAGAAAAAAAACCGCCAACACCAATAATCCAGTTCCAAAACCAAAATTAAAATCAAACCGAAATAAAAATGATAGCGAAGATGATTTTTTATCTGGAGACGATAACAAAAAAAAGGTTAAGAAATTAAAAAAAGATAATAATGACGCGGAAAAAGACGTAAAACCTGAACAAAAAAAACTCTCGTAAATATATCATTATTGTCACTGTATATCTTTTTTAATAGTTGTACCAAAATAAAACAAAAAAAATCGTTTTTTTAATCAGATTTTTTAGAGGACATCTAAATAGACCTGGCCCTTCTGCGCTTGGATCGAAAGAATTACCCGAAGGAGAAGAAAATTGTCTTCAAGTATTTATTTTATTTGATTTAAATGTCTTTTATCGTCATCATCAAAATTTTATTATTAATTATTATTATTACTTAAAGGGTAAAACTTTTGTCTTTACTGGGGAGTTATCATCTATCACTAGGGAAAAAGCACAAGATCTTGTGAAACAACATGGAGGGTAATAAATCAAATCATGATAGTGAAAATAATATATATATATTTATTTATATTTACTATTTTAGATGCGGTTTTTAATGAAAATAAAATATAATTTAGAAGAGTCACAACTTCAATAAGTAAAAAAACTAGCTTTGTTGTCGTTGGAGAAGATGCTGGACCAGCGAAATTAGAAAAGATTAAGACACTCAAGATCCCAACATTAGATGAAGATGGACTTTTCAATCTAATCAGGGAATCACCTGGAAATCCTGAACCAAGCTATGTCGAAAGTTCTACTAAAGTCAGCAGTAGTAGAAAGGGTAAAGCAGCTGTAAAGTTTGTTCAAGAACCTATTGGACAATCATTATCATCTGAAACAACGTATGTAATAAATACATTCTTATATGTATATCTTATTTGTTTTTAATTAATCTTAAACACATGTACTCTTTTTACAATAAATATACATTTCAGTGATTCGAAGCACCTAATATGGGCTGATAGGTATCGGCCTACTTCTCTCGAGGAATTATGCGGAAATAGTACTTCTATAAAAACTTTGAAAGCATGGTTGCATGACTGGTATTTTAATAAAAAAATTTTAAATTTGTCACAATGATTTGATAATTTTTACATAATTTGAGATTGCTTATTTAATATAATAATAATAATAATAATAATAGTTGTTGTTTATATCATTTCAAAATGATATAGGGAAACGAATTTCAAATTAGGTTTTAAATGTAAAACCAATGGTAAATATCCTGCTGTGTTGATATCCGGTCCACCAGGAATTGGAAAGGTATTTTACTTTTATAGAATAATATTCTTCCTTTCTCAATTTGCGGCAATTTATTTTTATTTTACAAATTATTGATTTATATAAAAAATAGACAACTGCTGCTCATCTTGTTGGTAAACATGAAGGCTATGACATTAAAGAATTCAACGCTAGTGACGTTCGTAATAAAAAGACCTTGGATGTAAGAAAATATATTTAATTATTATTGTTATCATTATTTTATGATATTAATAATATGGATGGTTTTTTCTCTACCACTAATTATAAAATTCTAGTTGACTATCAGGATTGCCACCGGCAACATGTCTATTGCTAGTTTTTATAATTCAAATGATACAAATGATGCTACTGTGACTGCTAGCTCATCGTCAAAAAATAAGAAAGGAAAAGCGGTATAATTGAATAATACTATTGTTTACAATTAATTGCTATTATGATTATTATTTACAATAATAAATTCATTTTAATTGACAGAAAGAGGAGCCTAAACCACCACATACCAACCGAACTTTAATAATCATGGATGAAGTTGATGGAATGTCATCTGGTGATAGGGGTGGTGCTCAGGAATTAATTAAAATAATCAAAGAAACAAAAGTATGTTATTATTACATAAATAAATAAATTAAATGAATTAAATAAACTATTAAATAATACTAATTTTTATACTTATAATCGCTTCAATTGAAGGTACCAATAATCTGTATTTGTAATGATAACAAATCATCGAAAATGAGATCTTTTACTAATCTATGCCAGGAAATTAAATTCCAAAGGTAAATAATTAATTCGATCATCTCAATTTGGAAGATTAACATATATCCTTATATTTACATGTATGATTTTTAAAATAGACCACGCGTTGAACAAATACGAGCAAGAATCCTATCGATTGCATCCAAGTAATTAAATATTTTTTTTAAATGTTGACGATCTTTATTCTATTTTTTACAATAACTTACTCCACCCAAATAATTGGTTTTTTTTTTGACTCAGTGAAAATTTGAAAATTAATGCTAATGTAGTTGATGAAATCATCAAAGGAACAACCACGGATATACGTCAAGTCATGAATTTATTATCATGTTGGAAACTTTCAGAAGATAGCATTGATTATAATCAAGGAAAACAACTGTATGGATTGGATTGAATTGAATTTATATTTATTTATTACTGATTTTTTTTTAGTTTTTTAATATATCTTTTATTTTATATTACAGAATAAAGAACTCGGAAAAGGATATAGTCTTAAATATTTGGGATGTGGCAGTAAAATTATTGGATCCGGTCACCTGGTCATCTAGAAACGAAGTCTCATTAAATGAGAAGTTGAATCTTTATTTTCATGACTCAGATTTGACACCCTTGATGATACAGGTTTTTTCGTTTTTTTTTTTCCCAGAGATAATATATGCGATAAATTAATAAGCAAGATTTTATTGGATTATTAATATATATATATATATATATATATATATAGGAATGTTATATCAATAAAATTAGTACAGTTGCTAGTAAGGAATTCATTGATAAAAATAAGGATAGGAATGTCGATCCAGAACTTCTTGAAGAATTTGCAGTGATAAATAGTTTAAGCAAGGCTGCTAGCTTCATATCTGAAGGAGATTTAATTGGCGGAATGATACATGGGTAAAAGACATATTAGTGTCTTTTTTCGCCCCATTTCCTCTTCAATTCATCATTTGTTTGTTTATTTATTTGTCTGTCTGTCTGTCCGTTAGATCCCAACAACGATGGTCCTTGATGCCTTTTCACGGTATGGCATCAACTGTAATACCTAGTTATTATTCTTGTGGTAGAGGTGGTGGTCTTTATCAATTCCCTAGGTAATTTATTTTTATTCTTAAATGTGCAAATTGGTTTTTTAAAATTAAATATATATATTAAAAATCGATGATGATGATTTTCTGTTTTGTTTTAGTTGGTTAGGACAAAATAGCAAAGCACTGAAACATAAAAAAATATTGAAAAGTATTCAAAGCAAATTAAGATTAAAATGTAATGCCAATAAAGATGAAATTATTCTAGATTATATTCCTGCCTTGCTTACAAAAATATATTACCCTTTAATTGGTGATAATGTGGTAGTTACTATTTAATAATTTAATATTGTTTGTTTATTTTTTTTTTTTTTGTTCTATGGCATATGTTCGTTTAGTATTGATATATATTTATTCATTTAGACAAAGGAGGATATTCAAAAAGTGATCGATTGCTTAGATGAATATAATTTAACAAAAGAGGATTGGGAATCCATTATCAGGTTGGGTATGAGAAGCCAATTTGAAACTGCAATGAAAAAAATTGGCTCGAAGACTAAAACCAATCTCACCAGAAGGCTAGTATTATTACTTTTTTGAAAATTTTTTTTTTATAATATATAATCTAGTAGAACTAATAAAAACTTTTGTCATTAAAAAAGATATAATGCTACTCATCAATCTATGATTTCTGTAAAAAAAGAAAAAGAAAGACGCGATTCAAAAGCAACTATATTGCCTTTTATTGTTGATAAAGAAGATGATGGGAAGATTGAGGGTGATGAGGATGATGAATTTGGTATTGAGGATGAAGAAGAAGCAATAATTGATTTTTAAAAATTATAGTTGATCATCAAAAAATTATATTTGATTATTAAATTTATAATTTACACCAACTCATAAGATAAGGAGAATTCATATAGACTTGCAAATTTTAAAATTATATATATATATAATAAATCTAACACGTTGAACCTGAGTATCGAGATTTATATACAATCTCGTGCCTTTCTCAAAACATTATTGAGTGAATGAAATAGGAGATATCTAAGGCGACCCATTAAAGTTTTGCCATCCCTTAACTTTTGAAAAGTACAGCTTCGATGAATTAGTAACGTTCGCAGTTGCGCACTTATTCATAATCCCCCCTCAAGTTGAAACGGTTTTAACGTATTATATTTTGAGTGATTATAGTCGTTATGGGAAAAACTTGTTCATTAAAGAGAAAAATATCACGTCGCCCAGGTAGTATCAAAAGCTTTTGTATCCACAATAAAGCATTTTCTATGATCTGGGAAGTGAGTTGGCGACGGCATAAACTCCAATTCTGTGAGCAAAAAAAAAAAAGGGGCGAGACAACAAATTACCAAAGGAGTTGGCAGCAACCCAGCAGATCGAACCCAGTATTAAATGTGTTGAACCTTTTGAGTGCGTCAGATTTTCTCTTGCTTTATATCCAACATGGTATATTACTTCATTTACTTTTTATCTTTAATTGCAAATAGTTAATAATAAATATTCAATTAATTCAGATAATTTAATATTATTAAAGAAAATAAGGACTTTTATTTATCAGATCGTGAAAAAATAAGTGTTAATAGTGGTAGCAATAATGACAATGATAATGATAATGAAATTATTAATAACGATAAATTGTTAGAGCCAAAGAATAAGTATTTCGGGGAAAGCTTCGGATCTGATTACTACTGGGCTCTGGATTTTTCAGGACATTCCCATTGCAATCAAGCTTTGTAAACTAGACCGTACCAAGTTTTTAAATAATGTTTATTTATTATAACTATTATACAATGGATAGATCTATCTCTAGATCCTGTGACCACAATAGAAAATAAAAATAAATTGAATCTTAGGAATAATGATAAATTTGAAATTTATAAATTAATAAAGAAATCTTAATTATTTGAATTATATATATATATAAGACCTATTAATATTTTCCCTCAATGGTAATTAATAATTAAAAATGAATAATTGATATTGAAATGATAACCAAATAATACATTCAAACTAAAGCAGCTGCTTTGGCTTGTGAGCCAAGTAATATCAATGCAGTCAAGACTGCACATATAAAATATATCTTGGAATACTAAACTAAATCGAGCAAGCTCATCTGATATAGTTGATCCCATTTGCCGAGAATCTATAAAATAAATATTTAACGTGATGATGATGATAAATTGTAAATTATTTACCATTAAAAACTTTTTTTGGATTCACAGGTTGAGGAAGATTAGTGTAATTTAATGGTATTTGATAAACAGCATTTGGATGTGTAGTTGTTGTGATAATTGAATATCTTATCCAAATTCATAAGTTACCTTACATGGCATTTCTTGAGAATGATGGTTGTTATTGTTATGTCCATTATATATATTATACAAATAATTTGCAGCATAGATGTGGCGGTGGTGGTAACGGTATTAAAACTATATTCATTATCAAATGGTTTACGCCATAACCCAATAATATTTCTAACCGTTTTTGCTGTTGATATTTCTTTAAGATTAGCATCCATGTATTTATATGCTAATTGAATGTAAAAATCTTTTAATGTTATCACTCTCTATCCCCTTAATGTATTTTAAATTATCATAAGGATTCCATAAAAGGTATCCAAATATATAATGATCAGTTGCTTTAAGTTTTTTGCTCTTAATTAATTTACCTATTATGTAATTATCTTCTTTACAAGTTTGACATTAGTCATATTTTAGCTTTGTAATAGCCAAGTGAAACTTCGTTTTATTCAAAATCAATAGGGATTATCAACATTGTCAACATTGTCAACATTGTCAACATTATCGGCATTATCGACGTTATCAACATTGTCAACATTGTCAACATTATCGACGTTATCAGCATTGTCAACATTGTCAACATTATCGATATTATCAACATTATCGGCATTATCGGCATTATCAACACTACCAACATCATCAATATTGTCGACATTATTAAAGGACAAACATTCTATAAATCCTCCCATAAAGAAATTGTCTTCCGTATTGTTATTAAAGGATGACCCTTCCATAAAAAAATTGACATCAATATTATCCATATTATCAATATTAAAGAATAATTACTTTGTTGTTCATATGAAGATGGAAGATTTATTATTATTATACAACTAATAATAAAAAATAAATAAAATATATTCTTTATCTAAAAATTATTATTATTACAAGGTGAGTGAGTATATTATTTAGAAGAATAAAATATTAATTATAATTTGAATTAGACTTACTCTTGTTATTTAAATTGTTTGAGGTTACTCAACATCCTCAACGCTTTCCCATGATTAAGTTCTTTGTAGAAGGGTTTATTTGATCCATCTATTTCCATAGTTAATCACGTTATTTTAAGGAAAGGAAAAGTTGCACAATACAAATTCTTTGTAGAAGGGTCTCTAAAGATTTTACTTTAAGGAAAAGGAAAGTTGCACAATACAAGCACTATATAGTGAGTGTTCTTCGCAGAAGTGTTTGTTTTTATATATCTTTTTTCTGATTAATCGTTAATCACATTAAGGAAAGAAGTTACATAATATAAGCACTAGGTTCTTTGTAGAAGGGTTTGTTTTGAGAAGGTTTTGCTAATTAAAGGAAAAAAAGTTAAATACGTAATACAAGTACTAGGTTCTTTGTAGAAGGGTTTGTTTTTTGAGCAAGAATTTATTCTATTTCCTAATTAAAGATCTATTTACACTACTTTAAAGAAAAGAAAAAGTCACATAATACAATAACTAATAGCATTAAGAATTTCACAAGAATTGGAAGCTAGAAGTTAGAATGTGGCTTTCCTTAAAATATGTGATTAACGATCTTTAATTAGGAAATAGAATAAAATCTCGAGCTCAAAACAAAACCTTTTTACCTTTCTACAAAGAAATCGATAGTGATTGATCGACAAATTCAAGTTCCAGATCGGGGAGTAATGTCATAATAATAAAAATAATTCACAATGGTTGATCACTATTTTGGATTTGCACCATACATAGTAATAAACATTAATATATAGTAAAATAATCGAAGATTTGAAACTTTAAAATGTAAAGACTCGATAACCAATCAAGCTGGAGGAATAACCTTTCCGCATTGTATTCCAAACACTCAATTAATAGCCTGCCAGAGAGTTTTTATTTATTTATAAAGGTTCAATGATTATTTTCGATGCGACAATAATCTTTCATTTGCATAAATTATGTAATTGATTTTGTTGCAGATAAATTTATAGTAAAGAAAAAAATTACAAGATGATTTTTACGTTGATGTGACAAACTATTTTGTATTGCCTGCAAACATGTAGTTGATAATAACAAAAAGTCAACAATAAACATTTAGAAAGTAATTCTCATAAAAAAATAAATTAAAAGTACAAAAATGTATCGAAAGAATCTTTAATACAACATTTTCCCAAGCCTTTCAACTTCCATATAACAAATTATGTAAACATATTAATAGACATTTTAATCTAAAATTTATTAGAGTTTCTTCATCTCAAAAAATTATTTTGTTATATTCATATTTATAAATCCAGAAGATGAATTGATCAATGAATGAGTATTTATTGTAGAGATAATGAATTTTGGAGGAAAATTAAATTAAATTAAATTAAAATATTGGGCTGATAACCAACAAATCTCATTGTTACTTCCTAGGATTGCTTTAGAGTAGAACAAAGAATTTCATGTCACAAAAATATTAAAGTGATATATGATACAATCTTTCAGAAAATTCATTAGAGATACCTAATGTTTTATATTACAACAAATAATATTGATTTAAAGTTATTGTTTTTAATATAAGATTATAAATTTATTATAGCGCATAATCTACCACGCATAATTTAATCGGGATTATAGAAATTGTTCATTATTCTTATCATTCGATCGTGTAATATCAAATCCATGTACAGACAGATCTGTTCATAAAGGTTTTTTGGACGGGCAATTTTATATCTATATCTATATTACACAGAAGTATAATGAATGAATGGTAAATTCATCAAACAAATACTTCAGCTTGTCTTTCGTTATACACATCAATGACTTTAGGATCAAATCGTGTGTGGAAGATTTGCTTTTGTCCTTCGTCAGTAATAACATCTTTGATTTCTTCCAACGTCAGCGAGATAACTTTTTGGTCAATGTTGTTCAAATCAACTTTTGAGTCACACTTGTCGATTAATTGCTTTTTTTACGAATTTATCCTGCTTGCTGCCTCTTTCCTGTACCTAGAAAGCTTCGACGGATCTGCACTTTTATGATACAATTAACAACAAATAAAATGTGGAAGCAATGAATGCTTTACTAAAGTTCCTTGCTTGTTTACTTTTCGCAACAATACTTTAACACAATACAACAATGTGACATGTGATAACGACTTCCGGTTAATAATAATAAATGTCAACAACACTTTATATCTAGCCGAACAATCTTAGCACGAAAACACTTGTTCTTTTACAAAAACAAAAACGTTTACGTTTAACAAAAACCAAAATTAAACCTTTGCTTTCTACCAAAGCAAATAAACGAAACCGGTTAAAAAGCCTCAGAGTTCTATAACCAAATGTACAATTAT